GCTTTCTCTGGTGAGAAGCACCTGTTAGCCAAAGCAGTAATTAACCTCCGTGATTGAATTCAGCGAGACTGAACTTTGGTTGGGTATGTGTACACACACCCTTAGAGATACACATGGACACTCATAATACACATAGAGACTCAGACAGACAAACACACACACACACACACACACACACAAACATGAACAATTTCAAATGTACACACACATTCCCACAGGGTGTGCACACATATTCCCACACACAAACTCAGATATGTACACACACTTAGAAACTCACAGCAGTTATTTCAAAACTCAGAAACAACAGTTATTTCAAAACTCAGAAATAAACTGTCACACAGGCTCTTGTCCTTTTTTTCCTCCCCTATTTTTTGTGGTACTGGGGATTGAACCTGGGATGCTGTACCATTGAGCGACATCCCTAGACATTTCTATATTTTATTTTGAAACAAGATCTTGCTAAGTTGTTGAGGCTGATCTACAACCTACTGATCCTCCTGCCTCAGTCTCCTGAGTAGCTGGAATTGTAGGCATGTGCCACCACACCCTGCTATTTAAAAGTTTTTTTTTTTTTTTTATTGTGGTGCTGGGATGAAGCCCAGGGCCTCACTCATGCTTGGCAAGCATTATACCTCTGAAGAACACCCACAGGCCCCATATTCTTTAAATATACATGGTCACATTCAAACTCATTCACATGCCCATGTATGCACACTTACACTCAACCACATGGTCCCAGTGACACAGTCAGACTGGGTGGAAGCCCTTGCCACCCCCTGCTTCCATCCTGTTGAACTGCTGGCTTTGAGACGAGGTTATCAACACCAGCCAGCTCAGGCACCCACGTAGCCAGGTGTGGGCAGGGCACACCTTGTTTGTTTGTGGTTGTCCCTAGTAACAGTAGATTAGGCTTCAAACAGAACTGAGAGAAGGCCATAAAGTGGCTGTCACACCGGTCTCTCAGAGGGGCCACTATCAAGGGAGGGATAAGTCCTGGGGTGCTGTAGCCTGCAACCAGTGGCTCACGGCTCATGCCCCAAAACCCGTGGCCCTCTCCTGGGATTTCCTCTAGCTTCCATGGGAGCTGCTATAGTCCCAGCCCCATCCCAATCTTGTCACCTCTTGTCAATCCTGTAGTGAGGATTTTAGTTCCTGTCAGCAGCATGAGGTGTTTGGGACCAGCCAGCATCTCCTCTGTGAGGACCTGCACATAGCAGCTCTCTCTGTGACTGAGCTTCTCACACATAGGATAAGATTTCTGGGCTGTGGTGAGGACTCAGGAGAATGACCTGAAGACACAGCACTTGGCCCTCTGGTCACATGTTTATGCGACTGATTTGAGCCTGCACATGGGGATCGAGCCACGCGTCAGGTGCAGCTCAGTGGACCCTGCCTGGGTGCAAGCTTTACAGAATGGTTTCTGTGAACATGACAGTGTCAGTCTTTTGCCCAGTCCTGCAGTGCTGGCCCGCACTGCTCAGTTTCAGGACTGTCCATTGGCCAGGATGGGCTTTCTAAGAACTTACCTGCTAAAGACATATCAGCTTCTTCATGCTGAGCAAGGTCAGCCAACCTAGAGATGACCCAGGCTTACAGTGCTTCCTCTGTCAAAGCAAAAGGGTGAGAGAACCAGGGCATTTGGTCAGAGCAAGAATGGAAGATGGAGGAGCAGGCAGGTGACTTGCTGTGCTATCCTGATCTGACTCTGGGTGATCGCCCTCCTCAGTCACCTGACTCTCCATCATGGGAAGCTCCTTCTCCCTGGTGCAGGAGAAGTGGACTGGAGGTCTGAAGGTCAGAGAGCCAAGTGCAATGGCTGGTGATGAGCCCCAGAGTTTTGTGGGTTCCAGTGGTTGCTATGCGGCCTTATCCAGAGAAGATGTGTGTGTCTGCCTTTCTAGGCAGGTTGAAGTCCTGAGGTGGCATCCAAGGTCCACCTTGCAAATGCATCAGAGCTGTTCAATGTGTTTTTTAATGTTCAGACTATGCAGACTGATCTAAAGTAAGATGTGAACACCTTGGACTTGGTAGCCTTGATACATGGTTCTCACTGTGGTCAGCTGCCCTCCTTATTCTAAGGCAGGAGAAATAATATGGAAATAGCATCTATATCCAGCATCTGTATCTATATTTCCTGTCCTGGAATCTGGTTTTAGCCATTCTGAAGGAACGAATCCTGAAGTTTTTACTTGATCATGCATGGTCCCAGGCAAGGTGGAACTTGAGCAGCCCTTGCTCACAGAGCTTATCTTTCAGTTGCTGGAGGGCACTTGGGGCCAGGCCAGGTGGGCAGTGTTACTACATTCCATCTTGCCCCAGGGGGATGCACAAATGCACTTGATTTCTGGACTGAATTCTTTAGTGGCTGTTTTTTTTTTTTTTTTTTAATTCAAGTTTCTGATATTGTCTGGAGCTTTTCTTTTGTTTCTTGCAACAAACATGCTTCCAAATGATTAATTTAAAAGTTAATAGACTCTACTTTTTAGGACAGTTTCAGACTTTTAGAAAAATTGAACACAGGTCCTCATCTCCCTCATATAAACATATTATATCCTGTGACACACGTATTACACTTGATGGGCCAATATTGAAATGTTATTTATTAACCTAAGTCCATAGTTTATGCTGGGGTTCACTTTGGGTACTCTTCATTCTGTGGGTCCGCATGAAAGTTAATGGCACGCATCCCCCATGACAGAACCATGCAGAATAGTTTCACCGCTTAAAAATTTGTGTTCCATGTATTCATTCCTCCTTCCCCCAACTTGTGACATTCACTGATTCTTTTACTGTCCCCATAGTTTAGTCTTTTCTAGAATGTCATGTAGTTGGAATCATATAGCAGTATAAACTTTTCAGATTGACTTCTTAAACACAGTAATACCACTTCATGCTTTTCCATTCTTTCCATGCCTTGATAGCTCCTTTCTTTTGATCGCTGATTAATCTTGCCTAGAGTGGAATACAGACAATGACTTCTTAAAGGCAGGGGCTCCGATTGCACATTTCTTGTCAGCGTGTCACACATGTAGTGAGGCACAAGGATGCATGTGTGCATTGAGAATGTACTCTGCTTGGGGTGACATGAATCCCAGTGCTCTTTTACCATGGGATCTCCTTGTTCAGTGCCACCATCACCCTGTAAATTTTCTCAAGCTTTTATATATAACAAACAAATGAAAAGGATATGTCCCTGTTTGCCAGCTGCTGTGTGTGTGTGCAGAAGGAACTGCCAGTTAAAAGGGAAGGATGGGTGCCATGAGAGAATACCCCTGGCCCCAGCAGGAATGAGTCAGAATCCTGGTGGAGTAATGAGAGGCCCCAGACAAATGAATGACCATGTGTCACATATTCCTTGAGGAACTTACTGAGTAAGATAAGCAAAAAAGCTATAAATAGTTGCCACAGTAAGAACCAAGGTCACACTACCACCCACTCCAAACTGCAAGGACAATTAGTCAGATGCCTGGGTTTCTCCTTCCTTTCCACATTTCCAGAAAATTCTTTTGAGAATGGAAGCATGCCAGGGGTCTGGAGGTAGGAGAGCCAGGAGAATGCTGAGGAGAGAGGCAGCTCATGGGGATTGAAATGCTGTTTGCAGGTGCTAGGATCCTGGTCAGCCTCTCAGAGAAGCAAAAAGCAAGTTTGATCCCTAGCCGACTCATGACCCTTTGTACTCAGGAAGAGCTCTGCTTTCCTGTAAGCAGAGACCCTGCTCTGTGCCAGCTGTCGTTCTGAGCATCTCAGACACTATATCTTTTAATCTTCACAACTACCCCATAAAGAAGGTACTATTACTACCTATAGTTTTCAGATAAGAGAACTGAAGCTCAGAGGGGTTTCAGGTCAATGTCCTATAGCTAGTAAGTGTCAGAGCGGAGAGGCTACTAAAGGCAAACCCTAAAAACGGGCTCTTTATCTCCACAGGGTCAGTTGTTCCTGATGTCTTTATCTCTCCTGCTTGGGTTTTAGCTTTGATTGTATTACTTTGCCTTGTATGTGTCTTTTTGGGGGTCAGGGTACCAGAGATTGAACTCAGGGGCACTCGGCCACTGAGCCACATCCCAAGCCCTATTTTGTATTTTATTTAGAGACAGGGTCTCACTGAGTTGCTTAGTGCCTCACTTTTTACTGAGGCTGGCTTTGAACTTGCAATCCTCCTGTCTTAGCCTTCTGAGATGCTGGGATTACAGGTGTGCACCACCATGCCTGGCTACGTATGTGTCTTTCTTAATAAGCTGTCTCTTCTTTGGAGGACTGTGGTAGTGAAAGGAAATTCCTTTCCATCATCTCATGTGCTGACTGGAGTATCCACACTAACTTTGGCACATTTAGACTCTATTTTGAGTTCTACTTCTAGAAGCGGCTCTAGAAGAGTCGGTCCATTTTATGGAGAAAGCATGCCCCTGTGTGGGTGTGAGGAGTGTGGGCAGCTTGCAGATCACTCTGCAGAGCCCTCCACCTTTTTGGGGGTTAGCTTTCCATGATTCCCAGTGGGGAAGGGCTTGGATGGTTCAGAAGTTTCTGTTCTGAGAGTCCACCAGTTCTTTGAAATTGAAGGTGAGGGCTGGGGTTGTGGCTCAGCGGTAGAGCGCTTGCCTAGCACATGCCTTGGGTTCGATCCTCAGCACCACAAAAAATAAATTAAAAAATAATTTCTAATTTCTAATATATAAAAAATAATTTCATATATATATATATATATATATATATATATATTTAGAAACTGTAGGTGAAATTCTGTCTGTGTAAGCGATATGTATTTTTCTTGGAGGAAGGCTCTATAATCTTTCCCAAATTCTCAGAAAGGACCTGAACTTTCCCAAAGTTAGCAAAACACTGGATTCTGTTAAGTTCAGGCCCTCTGTGTCTTGAAATGCTACAACTTGGTGACTAGAACAGCAGTTAGTGATAGTGTAAGCCTTTGGGCACCTCCTTTGGCCATTAGGCCTAGTATTTTCTGAAAATCCATTTGCTTATTTGTTTCTTCTCCCTTTCAGGTGGTGATTCCCTGCTGTGTGCAAGTTCACCTGGAACAGGTAAGTCTTTTGCATTGTGTTGAGGACATTTTGTCCTCAGGTAGACTGTCTCTTGAAACTGTGCCCCTTGGGGGAGTTTTTCTGCCCAGATCTCTATAGGGACATTTGACCTTCTTATTCTTCCCATTTGTTTTCGTTAAGAGGAGAGAATCCATGTGCTTTTTTGTGGGAACTTCTCTTAAGATCAATAATAGGTATCTTCAGGGCTTGATTTCCCTGAGTCTGAGTTTCCTTGGCTGTCTTGGTGCTAAAAATGGGGACAGTGACAGTAGCTGTCTCACAGGGTGTCTATGTGGAAACTGTGATGCAAGCATTTGTGAACATTCAGGTCTGACACCTGCCATGATTTTATCAGGTTCAAGGTAAACACAGGATAACACTTTCTCTTCCGTTTGTTATTTGGTAAACATGAATTTCCATTTGTTCTTTAAATGAAACTCCTTAGAATTTCATATTTCTTTGGGTGTTTTCTTTGCCTCCACCCATTGGAGATGAAGGGGTTAAACCTTGTTTCTAGTGACTTATTAGCTTCTTGGACACCTGTGGGGCTCAGGAAGGTAGAACACAGACTACCTCTTATTACAAATCGGAAGTGATCCTGGCGGGGGGCAATGTAAGCAGCCTTTTGCTGCTGGGGAGAGTGTACTGCCCTGCCCTGCCCTGCCTCACCATGAGGGAAGGAGATACCTGCACTTGCCACCTCCTCCAGGTACCTATCAGGTGTGCTGCATTTAGCTCCCAAACTGGATGGGCATCTTGTCCTTAGCCCCGATTTTGCCACATTCAGCATCCATTGGGTTCCTCTGGGGTTTTTGCCCTTCTGCCTTACTGTCTCTGTGGGCTGAGTTCAGAGGCCTCCAGACAGGAGGCTGGTTGTAAACTATTCTCTGAGGGTTTGGCTGAAGGGTGGTGCCACAGCCTGGTGAATCAGAGCCTCTGAGTTCAGAGCCTGGCACCACCACTGAGCCTGTCTCCTTCTTTACTTAGAGGGGTTAGGGTGCTCCCTAACCTAGCTGATGGCAAAAGGCAGGGAAAAGGGATTCATGGTGGTTAGGCATGCCACATGTTGTTATTGTGCTCCCTTCAATACTATCACATGCTGTGGGTCTCTGTACTTGTGGGGGAGCAAAATGTGCATTAAAGGTCAAAGGAAGATAAAAACAACACAGGTCTCCGGAAAATCTAAATACCTACAAACTATGCCAGACACCTCGGTGGAACATCAAGAGCTGAGGCCCTCAGGGACGGCACCGACTTCTGTCCAGTTTGCCCTGCTGGCCTCAGTGCTGCCCCGAGCTGACCAGCTACTTCCTCCCCTTCACTATTTTGTGGCGCTCATAGCCAGGGTCTTGGGGTGTGTCTTTGTGTACTCTTGGCTTTGATAGGCTGCAGTTTGTCTCTGTGATTGAGGGGGATGGGGGGCTGTGTGCCACTCTGAGAACCTTGCTGAAGCCCATTTTCCCCAGGGTCCTCTGTAGTTCTGCCCTGTGCACAGAGGCTTTTTTGTCATCAGATTTATTGGTAAGTCGTAGACACCTGTCCTGGAATGCCACATCTGTGCACCAGGTCCAAAGGGTCTCTGTGAGGGTGTCCAACTTGGCTGCTGGGGGATTCTCACTGGGTTCCTCAGAGTCCCTAGTGTTTGGAGAGGATCCTCTCAATCTTCTGGACACAGCTTCGCACCACAGTAGGATGTGATTTGCTTTCAATGAGTGTGGACACTAAGACAGCTGGCTCTTTTTCTAGCCTGGCCCACTCCTCTTGCAGCTCTGTGTGTGAATGTGTGTGTTTTAGGTATGCATTGTTATATGTGTTTGAATATGAAGATGTGTGTTATTCATGTACTTGTGTTATACACATATGTACACATATATAAATGGGAATTATATAGGTACCTGTTACATGTTGTGAATGTGTGTATTAAATATGCATTTGTTGTGGGTATATAGATATGTGTAAGGTTTTTGTGTAATATAGGTATATGATTGTGCAGATGTGTGTATCATGCATCTAATTATGTACATGAATGTGTAGATAGATGTACATTTGACATGTAGTTGTTATAGGTATAGGTGTGTATGTTTGTGCAATTGTCATTTATATATGAATGTGGGTATTATATATGCACTTCTTATATGACTGCATAGATATGTATGTACTGTGAATGTAATTATGTATACATATGTTATATGTATATGATTGCAAAATGTGTATTTTGTATGTGTTTTTTCCACATTTTTATTGGTGATGTGTTTGTAATAGGTATATAAATGTGTATTATGTAGTAATTGTTATACACATGATATATAGGCATGTGTATTATGCATGTAGTTGTATGCATGTGAATGTGTGTATGGTACATGTAATTTCTGTAGTATGTGAATGCATAAATTTGCATTTTGCATGAGGTTGTTATACCTGTGATTATTATGTATATGTGTGTATGTGTGTCATTGTCATGTATCAAATATAAGTGTATTGTGTATATACTTGTTATATGTGTATTCTTTGTTACATGTGTGCTCATTATGCATATGATTTTTAAGTGTATATAAATGTATGTATACTTTCATGATGGAGACAGGTTCTAAGAATGCTTTCATTATTAGGTGATTTTTGTCTAACATCATAAAATGTACCAAAATAAACCTGGGTGGTATAGCCTACTACACACCTAAGCTATATGGTGGAGCCTATTGTTCATTGTTTTTAATGCTTCCAACTTTTTTGGTTAAAAACTAAGACACAACACACACATTAGCCTGAGCTTGCTCAGGGTCAGGATCATCACAGATCTTCCGTTGGAAGATCTTCTGAGGCAGGAACACTCCTGAAGCTGTCATCTCCTATGACAGCAATGCTGCCTTCTGGAATCCCTCCTGGAGGATCTGCCTGAGGCTATTTTACAGTTAATCTTTTTATAAGTAGGAGTGCACTCTAAAATAAGGATAAAAGATACAGTATAGTAACCACATAAACCAGTAATATAATCATGTCTTATCATTATCAAATATTTTGTACTATTAAATTGTATATTGCTCTATTTTTGTACAACTGGCAGCACAGTAGGTTTTTTACACCAGCATCACCACAAACATGTGGGCAATGTGTTGCATCACTGCATTAGAACAGCTGCAGTGTCAGCAGGTGACAGGAATTTTCCAGCTCGGTTATCATCTTATAGGAGTATTGTTGTATTCAAATTGTCATTTTGTGCATGTGACGCTGTGTGTGTGTGTGTGTGTGTGTGTGTTTCCCTGTGAGGACCATGCATGAGTCCAGTCTGTGCTCCTAGCTCTCTGTGACCTTTTCTAAACTGCTTTGACCAGCAGTTCTCTAAGTGTGGCCCTGGGCCAGCAGCCTCAGCATTGCCTAGAACCTGTTAGAAATGCATAGTCCCAGGCCAGCCAGTCCTGCTGAATCAGGAACCATGGGCTGGAGCCCAGTGATCTGTGTTTTAAAAAACCCTTGGGAAGGTCAGTGCAGCTCAACTGTGAGAATCACAGCTGTGAGCTGGAGCTAGTGCAGGGCTCTTATGTGGGTGTGCTGGTCAGGTGTGGCCTTGGCTGTGTACTGCCTCTCCTCAGCTGCCTCTATGCACCGCAGTCTGAGCTCAGAGACCCTTATCTTTTCCAGTGTGTAACTTTTCCCTGTAAGCAGGGTTGTGCTGTCTTCCTCATGCCTGTGGAGAGATAAATGGAAGGGTGGATATGGCCACAGCAGCCCAGCTCTCATCCCTTCGGCCTCCTTGTGCTGGGTGAAGTGGTATAAACTGATCTTCCTCTGTCCAGTGGAACTTGTGGGGAGGGTTTGGACCTGTATATTTCTCAGGGCAAAAAGCATCCAATCCTTTTTTCTCTCATGCCCCTGCTTGGGCCAGGAACCTTCATGGCACAGGGGTTCCGAGTGCTTTGGACTGGCACAATGACAGACCTTCAGATAACACCCATATTCCGGCAGGCCTTGGGAATCCCCTGGACCATTTGGTCCTGACCAGGTTACCTGAGAGCAGTTTTTATTTTCTCTTTGTTAACCATTCATCAAGCACCTGCTGGGTGGTTAGGCTACCCCCTGGGGCTCAAATATGTGAAGAAACTCTCCAAGGTCACCCAGGTGCTGAGAGGCCCTTGCAGGCCTGACCTTGGCTTCTTTGTCTGCTTGTGTCTGTGCACTTTCTACCTTTCCAGAGAAGGGACATATTCATTACTACTGCTTCTAATTTTTTGATATGCCACATTTGTTAAATCAAGGATAAATTGTGGTAGGGGAAAAAAAAAAAACCCGCACATGTTGTTAGTAGAACTTGAGAGGAAATTAGTGGTTATTTAATACCACTGTTTTGGGCTCAGGATTGGTGTTTTGGGGCAGGCTGCGTTGCACATGGATGAACATGACAGATGGAGGTTTTGGTGTGCCCTTTGAGCCTTGTCACATCGTCCTGTGTCTTGGCGCTGCTTGAGCTGATGCATAGGGGGGTTCCTGCAGGGTCTCTCTGGTTCTCTCCCTCCTCCTCTTACCTCATATGCTGTCAGGAATCATGGTGACTTCTGTCCTTGGACTTCATGACTCAGGCAGCCTTCCGGCTTTGGGAACAGATGATCTGCTTGATTTTTGGATGCTCCATATGTAACTGTGGCTGTCAGTGGTCAGCTCTGAGGCCACCCTCTGTTCCCTGGGGTGCGAATGTCCCTGCATTTGCCTATATCCTGCCCTAGACCCAGCTGCCGCACTCTGTCCCATACCAGTGGCACTTCCTCCACTTGGCTCCTTTGCCACCCGCCTCTGCTCTGCAGATGTAACCTGGGGGCTGGGAGCCCTCCCAGGAGGTTGCAGCATAGCTTCATCCCAGCACGTTTTAACATTGCAAGCTGCTAGGTCTGCCAGAATTCCTGTGGTAGCACGGAGTTGGGGCATGATTGTTTTGAAACTCTCTGGCATAATTCACTGGTCTCAGCAGAGAGAAGGTGGTGATGGCCCATGCCAGCCAGACTTAATGACTG